TGGCTCAGTGGTAGAGCACTTGCCTAGCATGTGTGAGGCACTGGGTTCGATTCTCAGCACCACATAAAAATAAATCAATAAAATAAAGGTATTTTGTCATCTACAACTTAAAAAAGAAACTGTATGACATGCTCAAACATTAAAAAATCTCTAGCACAATCATATACTATCTTCAGCATGGCCTGTCTCATCCTTCTTTGTACCATCACCCCTCTAACTCCTTTGCCACCCCTCAGCATTGGGGACAGGGGCAAGGAGGGAATGCTGACAGTCAGGGTAGTTTGGGGAGGTGCAATTAAGTGGTCACTGTACTTACAGCCTAAAAGTATGGCGACCCATCCATCATCATGGTAGTACGGGAAGTCTACAGAGGAGAAAGCACCAGTTATGAGATACTTCCTATGTTTCTCTTCCCTGTCATCCCTCCCTTCTGTGTCCAAGAGATGATGTACCTGGGGGCAGATACCAGGGATCAAGCTCAGGTGGCACCTCTGAGACAAGGCGTGGCATAGCTCCACAGTTAGATTCGGACAGTTCTCCCTGAACTCGAAGGGCCTCTGCTAGCTCAGCGGTCATGGGCCGAGGAGCTCGGAAATGGGTCTTGAGTGGAGCCACATTGTTGAATCGAACACCAGACAGGCAGCCTGAGAAACCTGGGGTGTTGTAACGCTGGATCTCTGGGTCAATTACACCCGTCTCTAAGGGAGAAGGCCCAGAAGAAGAAGGGTTTGAATCACTTGGAAGCCTCTTGTCATCAATCCTTCTGTTCTCATCACCCACGTATTCTCCTTGCCACCCTCACTGCCATTCCCAGGTCCTCCCACTCCTTGAGGCTCCAGGGACTTCCCCCATAGCTCATCCTCACCCACAGCTTACCCATCACACGTCCTAGATACAAGGCTTTAGGCGAGTCCAGCTGGCTGTCTACCAGCAGAGAGAACTTCTGTTCTGTCAGCGGGAAGTAGTCCACCTGAGGCAGGGATGGGGACAGTGAGGGAGGGAGGACCTTGCAGGCACAGCCAAGACCACAAGGGAACTCTTGTTCTATCCAAACCTGACCTGTTAGCAGGTGAGTCCCTGCTCAATCTGAAGTGGGCAACCCCTAGGCCCAGATGTAGGATTTGGTACCTGATATGGTTTGACTAGAGGTGTTCTCCAAAAGCTCCTCTGATGGCACAGTTATTCAGATGAAATGATTAAATTATGAAGGCTTATAACCTAATTTGTCATTCCAGTTTGAATGGACTAACTGGGTGGTAGCTGTAGGCAGGCAGGGTACCACTAGAAAAGGTGGTCACTAGGGGCATGCCCTTGAAGGGTTCATCTGCCCCATGGCCCCTTCCCCTCTCTCTCTGCTTCCTGGCCAGCTGTAAGTGGAGCAGCACTCCTTACAACACCCTTCTGCCATGATGTCCTACCTTGCCTTGGGCCCAGAGAAATGGAATTGGTCCACCAAGGACTGAATCTCTGGAATTTTCCCTCCTCTAAATAGTTCTTATTGTTCTTTGTTGCAACACAAACCTGACTAAAACAGAAATTGATATGGAGAAGTGGGGTCATTGCTGTGGCCATGCAACTAGTTCAGAAGCCTTTGGAACTGGTTTGTGGGAAGCATTTGGAAAAGTTTAGAGATGGAGGCTGGAGAAGTCTTAGAATGTTGTAAGCAGAGGTAAATGAGTGATTCTGGTGGGAGCTCAAAAGACCAAATGCCAATAGGAATGCAAACTGTGCTCATGAGGTTTCAGAGGGAATGAGGACTATTGGGAGGGATTTGGAGTAGAGGCCATTTGGGTTATCATCTGGCAAAGAACTTTTCATCATTTTGCCCATGTCCTGAGACTTTGAGACTGAAGTTAAAAGTAATGGACAAATTAGTCTGATGAAGGAAATTTCATTTCACAGCATTCATTCAGTGGCAAAGATATTGCTGGAAGCTTTTAGCCAGGCTTACTATGAGAATTAGGAGCAAAAAGAAGAGCTCACAGACCAGAAAGTGCATTTAAAACTGGGGCCCAAAAAAAGTTACACTTGTTGAATAGATTATAGCCCCTAAAGAGATGCTAGGTACTTTGTACAAAGACAATAGGAAAGATGGTTTGAGGACATCTCCAGGATTTGCAAGACTATACTCATTGCAGGCTCAAGGATATGTAAAGGAAAATTCCCCCGAGAAGAGATCATGGGGATCTCTTCTCACCTGAGCAAGAGTTCACCCTTGCACAAGGGGAGCTAGGAATTTGTTTCACTGGGTTTAGCTGCCCAAGCACTCAGAAGCCACTGCAACCATTATTCCAGAGGACTCAGACCCTGCACAAGCTGGTAGCCAACTTTGGCATCATTCATGAAGTGCTGGTTCTGCAGGAATGCAGGATCCTAGAATTAAGGAGTCATGAGGGTTTCCACTGAGATTTCAAAGGAAGGTCTAAAAGGCCAGGCAAAATGCGGCAGGGTCAGAGTCCCTGCAGGCTGCCTCTAAAAGGGTGATGCATGAAGCTGTGAAGGTGAAACCAAAGCTGGAGTGGAGACCCTAAAAATTCACAGATGTCAGTAATGTGGCCTGTCTACCAAGAAAAGGTGCTGGCTGCAGAGAGTCAGGCTAAAAGAGAGTCCACATGTGCTGCAACTGGCAAGGCCAAAAGGATGGGACTGCCCAAGTTCTTTGGAGAGAACATCTCCAAACCACCACGTGTCCTAGATGTTATACGAGGAGTTATAAGCAGAATTATGGGACCTGTTGGCCTGCCTGGGTTTCAGTCTGTTTTGGTCTCATGCCTTCTTTTGATGCCCCTATTCCTCCCTTTTGAAATGGGAATGTTTATTCTGTTCCACTGAATACTGGACATATGTAACTTGTTTTTTGATTTTTACCAGGCTCACAGCCAAAAGTTTGCCTTGTGTCTCAGTAGAGACTTTGGACTTGGATTTTTGGGCAATGGTGGAACTGTCTTGGAGATGGACTAAATGCATTTCACATTGTGAAATGGACATGAATTTTGCAGGGCCAGGAACAAAATGTTGATTTGGATAAGAGGTGTCCCCCATAAGCTCCTATGTTAATGCAGCAATATTCAGAGGTGACATGATTGGATCATGAGAGTTGTTACCCAATCCATTCTGGCTTGAATGGACGAACTGGGTAGTAACTGTAGGCAGGTGGGCATGGCTGGAGGAGGTGAGCCACTGGTGTACTGGAATGGTTCATCTTTCCTATGGTCCTTTTCCCCTTCTCTGCTTCTTGACTGCCATGAATGGAGCAGTACTTTTCTACCTCACCCTTCTGCCATGATGTTCTGCCTCATCTTGGGCCCAGAGCAAGGAGTCAGCCATCTATGGACTGAGACCTCTGAAACCGTGAGCTTCTGATAAACTCTCCCTTCTCTAAGTTGTTCTTGTTGGATATTTTGGTCATAGCAACAAAAAGCTGACTAACTCATTGTGTGTTTTTTTTTTTAAATTGATTTTGAGCTCTATTTTTGCAACTTACTAGTGGTTCGACTTTGAGAAAATCACTTTATACTTCATGAGCCCGTTTACAGATTTGTAAAACAAAGATAAGGACACCAGGCAACTTAATCTACTTCGAGAATCTGCTGTGAGGGTCACTTGAGGTGACACACATAAAATTCTCTGTACAATGAAATATGTTTGACACATGTTAAGATTTGATATTTTGAGGCCGGGGTTGTAGCTCAGTGGTAGAGTGCCTGCCTGACATGTGTGAGGTGCTGGGTTCAACCATTAGCACCACTAAAAAATAAATAAATGAAATAAAAATGTTGTGTCCATCTACAACTAAAAAAAATTTTTTTTAAAGATTTGACATTTTCTTGGGTGCCACATTGAGATCGTGAGGTTGTGACTGGACCCATCTACCCCCTCACACACATACCTGGATGAAGAGGTTGCGGTAGACCCGGGTAATATTGACACTGTGGGGCTGGCCATCAGTAACTGGCCGGGTGGTTAGCTGGTAAACATAGGGACTAGTGCCCAGTTGATATCTCAGCTGCAGGGTCCCTGTGGAGTGAGAAGAAAAAACATGGGGTCTTCTCTCAGATCTCACAACCTGTCTTCGCAGAACACTTGGGTCCTATATAGTGAATCAGTTGTTATGTGAATTAACAGTACCTTGGGGAAGTGAGGGTCTAGGCAGAGATCCTGTGGGGCTTACCATCTTCCTTGATGAGCACAGCCATGTAGTCACGCACAAAGGAGCTGACGTAAAGCAGGACTGCAGGGGCAGAGTCAGTGCTGAAGCTGAAGGAGACCTCCTCCCCTGTGACGTTGTAGACAGGCCCCCGGTAACCTGGCACAGGCCGGCCAGGCCTGGGGTAGTCAGGCAGGCGGTACCCAGGGCCATGGTAGCCGGGCACATAACCGGGAGTGTCATAACCAGGGATATAGCCAGGCTCATAGCCTGGCACTGGCCGGCTCAGCATGTGGGAAAATTCCCGGGCTGCAGAGCGCAGAGCTGACTGTAGGTTATAGCGCATCCAGGTGCCTGGCTCAAAGAAACCGCCGATGTCTGAAGACAGAGGTAGTGAAGTCAAATCAGGGTCCTCAGTCCTCATTCACAGGGTTTAAAGTTCATCCTCCATACACCCTGAATTCACTTCAATTTCTGCCACTATCATAACTCTCTGTTAAAGGTCCTCTCAAGGCCCTCTGGCATAGAATGGAATCTTAAAGCCATGAGAAACTTTTGAGAGATATCTAATCTGACCCCTGAATATTACAAACAGAGAAACTGAGACTCAGATATGGGTAGTGACTTGCCCAAGGACACAGAGTAAGTGGAGAGCCAGGCTTAGAACTGAGATATCCTGAATCCATCTAGTAAATATATCACTGCTCATACTTCCAAACCAAGACCAGAAGTTTTTAGTTGGTCCTACATCCCTGCCTCTTCCCCTTTTTTTTTAAGTTGTAGATGAACACAATATCTTTATTTGTTTATTTTTATATTTATGTGGTGCTGAGATTTGAATCTAGTGCCTCGCACATCCTAGGCAAGTGCTCTGCCACTGAGCTACAACCCCGGTCCCCCTGCATCTCCCTTGTTTAACAGACTCCTCCCACCAGTAACCCACCTACTCACACATCCCCCTAGGCCAACCTTAGGAAGGATGCAGTCTGGGTATCTGAACAGAATCTTGCTATGCTGAATGTCAAGGTTCACCTTAACGGAGAACCAGGTAATAAACTGGGAATTCAGCAATTGTCAAACAGGAAATAGCAAAGGACATTATGCAGCCAAACTAAATATGCATGCAAAGGGGAATCTGTGTTACCTTAGTGACAGTGGGACGATGGGGAAGTTACATGCTGATGTTTTTGAGCTTTTATGACCTGCTAGCTTTACCATCCCTTCCTTGTTCCCCTTTATGACTTTGAAATCATTCAGAATCTTCAACTGCCTGACTCCCCCCAAATCAGAGCTCAGGAACCCAGTGACAACTCTAGTTTCCCCAAAGGCTGACTTTGCACCCTCTTTCCTGCCTTCCCTACGTCCCATTGTGCTATGTGGCTCCCTGTCCCCCCATAATCAGCAGCACTGACCGTGGTTGCAATATGGCCCATCAAAAGCTGTGAGGTCACAGTCACATGTGTAATAGCTGTAGCGCTCCACACAGCGGCCTCCATGGAAACAGGGGAACCGAGGGTGGGCGCAGTGGCCTGTGCAGTTGGGAGAAGTACCCTCAGAGGCATTAGCACGGCCCTCCAGGTTCAGAGTCACTCCATTCAGACGCATGGCCCTCAAGCAGCCCACAAAGGGGCGCCTCTTAAGTTCCGCAGATCCTGGTCAAGAAATGAATGGAGAGGCTGGGAGTATGGCTCAGCGGCAGAGCATGTACTCAGCACCTATAAGGCCCTGGGTTCCACCCCTGCCCCCCCACAAAAAAAATAAAAATAAAAAAATAAAAACTGTAGAGCTTGAGACAGAAGTAAGTTTGTGGCTGGGAAGTGAAGGGAGACAAGGGGGCAAAAAAGATGGAGTAGGATACCAGGGACTGGTGGGAAAGGTGGGACCTTGGCTTAATCTGAAGCTGAGGAGGCTGGAACCAAAACATGGGGCTCCTGGAAATTCAGAGTGCCTTGAGCGGTGGAAAGGTCAAGAAGGCTCTCACCCTGCCTCGGGGTTGCTGCTCACCAACATAGAGGGGCTGGTCATACTCCAGCCAGATGTAGGTCTGCAGTGGCATGGGCCGCACCACCCAGGGCCGGTGATCCACTCGAAGCCGGGCCTGCTTCACGTTGATTTCAGCCCGGACCAGGTGCCATTCATCATCATTAAACTCAAAGTCATCCGAGTGTACCGTCAAGTTCTCATCCCCATTCCCCACATCAAAGGCGAAGACCACATCCCGGGATGCTGGACAATGTGACAGGAAGTAGTGAGGAGAAAAGGGCTCGAACCTCCAAGATCCCTCACAAGTGCCTTGCTTGGTTCAACCTCTCTTCCTCAACCCTTCAGAGCTCCTGAATATCACTCCAATTTGTCCATAGGTTTTTTGGAGATTTTTTGTATTGGGAATTGAACCAAGGGGTGCTGCATCACCAAGCTACACCCCAGCCTTTTTAATTTTGAGACAGGGTCTTCCTAATTTGCCCAGGCTAACCTTGAACTTTTAATCCTCCTGCCTTAGCCTCCTGAGTGGCTGGGATTACAGGAGTATGCCACCATGCCTCGGTAGCCATAGGTTCTAACCTATAAACTGCTTGAAACTTCATACCCTTGGCTTCTCACAAAATTGAAGATCACTTCAGCTTTTCTGGCCCCACCTCCCAGACTTGAAGCGTAACTAGTCAGAAGTGGGAAAGACCCTCAGGAGTCTAGCTCCTTCTTCACAAGCAAAGGGCATAAGGCCCAGAGAGGCAAAGCCAGTTCCCAAGGTCACATAGTCAGGGATCAAGACAGAGATAAACCTGGAACCAGAGTCATCTAAGCCCCTTTCCTTACTGCCTGTCAGAAGGACATATGACCTGGTTTCCTACCCCAGCTTCCCCAGAGAGCTCCTTCATCCACCCCACATCCCCCCCAGACTCTGCCTGCTCACTGTTGAGTTCCACCCGCACGTAAGGTCGACGCCACTGGCAATAACGGCCCCCCATATTCTCTAGGAAAACTCCTGAGGGAGCCGAGGTCCTGAAGTAGAAGGAGACGTCGAGACTGTGGTTGGCACGGATTGGGGGGAAGCGTAGTGCAGCCCCCGTGTGGAAGGAAATGGTGTTCCAGGAGTTTCCTAAAAAACCAGAGGGAAGAGGCTTTGTCATGGAGGTTGGGGGGTGCAGGGGCAATGGAGCCTCAAGAAGGCGGTGGGGAGGGAGATAAAAGGGGGAGGGTGAGAGGTAGTCATGGGGAGACTGAGAACAGAACAAAAAGAGGAGTAAGGTGCAGAGGAGCAATAAAGATGAGGATCAGATCACAGCAGGAGTGTCTGTCAGTATGGCCTAGAGACCCCCCAGTGGGTTAGGTGGCCTAGATTTGGGAAACTGGAAGACTGACTCTGGAAAGGCACACAAAAGGGGTCTGCCACTCACGGTCGCCATAGCAACGCAGAGGCCTCAGGAAGAACTGGGCCTCTGAACTGGAGCGGTTCGTATCCCCCACCACCACCTGAGTGACAGGCAGATGGTCCACAAAAGTCAGCAGCCCCTTGTCAGTTCTCCTGTGGGGACAAAATGTGGTGATCAGCCTTACTGCTAGGCTTCCCCTAAAGTCCTCTAAACTCTGTCCCTCTGCCTCCTCACCACTGGGGCTGGTCAGCATCACAATTGCAGTGCAGGGCAGGGTCCACACAGCTCCGGTCCAATCCACAGGCACAGCGCTGGATCCCAGGCTGCGAGCCTCCCCAGTAGAAGTGCTGCTCCTCATTTCGGCCAATCCAAAAGCTGTAGGGGTAGCCTCCTGGGGAAGAGGTGCAGGCAGCTGCCAGGCCCTACCCCTCCATTAGCCTCTGGGCTCCCTGGGTTGCCCTTCCAACTGGCCCAGACCTTGCTTAACTCCTTGGTCAAACTTTCAGGCTTTATTCTCCCAGCCCCTCTACCCTGTCTCTCTCCAGCTCCTCCACCTGCCTTCCCTGACCCCAGCCCAAACCTGCAGTGTTGAGCAGCCGGGAATTATAGCAGGAGAACTCGATCCACTGCTCACAGTGCTGGGAAGCGTTGGCTAGAGCGCTGACTTCCTCCCATGATGCATTCCAGTACTGGACAGCCCCTAGGAAGGGCCGCTCCATGCTGGAACCTGTTACCCGAGTTGTCCACAGCCTGTCATGTCGCACAACTGTCCATGCTCGGTTCTCTGGGAAGACGGAGGGGACAGAGCTTTTGCTGGACATGGGCATTCTCTACCCATCTCCCTGCCTACCTCTACCAAGACAACTTCTGAGCCAATTAATGGCCAGCAGCTCTGTTCCAGCTAGACCCTGGGTCCTCCACATTGGAGATCAGAGACAGCTAGAATGGATCAGGAATTTATCTACAAGGCTAGATTACAAAGTGTCCCCCTTCCTTTCCCCTCTATCCTCCTTTACTCTCACCACAGTTTAATCTTAATGGCTCCCATCCCACTTTGTGCCTTCCTGTTCCCCCCATATTTCCCTTTATTATCTGGTCAGCTGCCACCTCACCACCCATCAGAGCCATTTACCTCGGATATCACAGTACACTACAAAAGGCTTCAGGGGGCCACTGCCATCAGGATCAATGGTGAAGTTTCCAGAAGTTTTTCCACTGAGTCGATAAGCCTCACAGGATTCCTTATACAATGCTAGATGGTGTGGTGGAAAAAACACAACTTAGGGTTAGAGGGCTAGAAAATGAACCCCAGCTTAAACTGTAGATCAGTGGTAGAGCTCATGTCTAGCATGTACAAGGCCTTGGGTTCAATCTCCTACACCATAAAAAAAAAAAACAAAAATGTTGGGGGGAGCCCAATCCTATCCCTGACAGCCTTGTGATCCTCCCCACCCCATTTGGCTTACGTTGGTGACAGGTCTCCCCTTTGTAGCCAGTCAGTTCACAGTAGCATATGAAGTCATCCCAAGACTGGTAGCAGCGTCCATCATGTTCACACATGTTAGGGCTACACCTGGGGAATGGGTAGGCACCAAGGGAAGGGGCCTTACTGGGAGCTTGAGAGGGAATCTGATCCCTATAAGCTGCACTCCCAGTTCCCAGAGAACCAGGACCCAGTGACATACCACACACCTAACTAGTCAGGTATGTGCCCAGATACAGGGCATCTAGTCAGTCTTTGGGGTTCAAATACTACTGTTCCCCCCTTCCACAAAAGAGCAGAAATGTCTTATTCCACCCCATCCCCTGCCAAGAAAAAAAAAAAAAAAAAAACCTAAGACCAAAAGTAGATGCATAGTTTACATTTTGAGCATGTGTCACTTTAAGAGAAAAACAGGAGGTGAAATGTCAAGGAGGAATCCTTCCCCAGGTTGGGGGACTAAGGAGCTGAGACAAGGAGAAGGGACATTATTGAGAAAGGCCACTCCCACTGGGAGAGCATGGAAAAGGGCTTTGAAAGGGGTCACCTCTTGTTAGGGACAGGGGTTTCTGGATACCTATCGGTGATGCCACATGTGTCAAAGAGGACCTCAGCAAAATATCCAAGCCGCCGAAACTCCACCAGAGTCAGGTTGACCAGTTGACCATCCACCTTCAGCAGCTCCATGCAGCCATGGAATGCCGTCTGGTTGGAGTGGCAGCCCCATCGACTGGCTGGTTTGGGACAACCTGGAGCAACCACCCCTGTGAGGCCCTCCCCAGGGAAGACCCCAGAGACCCTCCCCCAGGGAAATGTTAAGAGGGAGCCAGACATAAAGAAAGAAGAGATTAGAACCAAAGTGTAGACTACGTCAATGACTTTCCACGCCCCAAGTTCCCAGAGGTGAAATGGCTTAATTCCTATAAAACTCTCCATGCGGCCTCATCTGAGTGAATTTAGACGAGGCTTTCCCACCCAGAGACAGGAGTCTGGCCAGGTGTGCCCCTACTTACCTCCAAAGAAGTACGAAGTCCCTGTACGGATCAGCAGGGGGGATGAGACTCTGACCTCTGCCCCCTCCACATCATCAATACTGATGACTGCATGGTTTTCCTGTGCCACAAAATTCACCTCGTGCCAGAAGCCATCATTTAGGTGATATCCTGGACAAGAAAGAAGAATGGTGTGGGTAGGGGAAGTAGTAATAGAATAAGAGAAAAAGATGTAGAGTGGGGAAGCAGCAGCCCCACTCCTCATCCCAACAGCAGTCTATGTACACACCATTATTACACTTCTCATACTGAGCAGTGACATCTCTCTTCACTATCCATAACCCCAGTTATGGATGCAAAGTCTGCAAAGTTAGAAATGAGTAATAAACATCACAGAGACAGACCCCCTAATCCTATAGAACATCAGGACCCTCAGCCTTCTGTTTCTCCCAGAACCTTTAGCCCCTCTATCTGCCTTCAGTCACTTTTCCCAGTACCCTGTTGCCTTCATTCCCTCTCCTCTCTCCATTATGCAAAGGTCTCAGTCCACCCTACCACCCTCCTGGACCTCCTCTACCTTTCTTTAGTTCAATTGTGCTTCTCCCAGACTTCCTCACCAGCAGCAAACTGAAGTTTCTTGCGGCCGGTCTGTGCAATGGACACGTTGACCTGCCCTTCGCTAAGCATCAGCTCCACATGGCCCAGTCCGTCGCCCAGGCGGGAGAAAAGCAGCAGCCCTGTGAGGTCCCAGGTGCGGAAGCGGAAGGAGACTGCAAGGCGGCCTCGGCGCGGGAAACCTGGCACTTGGACAAAGTTGTGAGGACCTCCAAAGTTAATGGGGTGCGGAACTGGATCCAGGCAACGGAATGCCACCTTACCCTAGGAGAAGTAAGGACACATCAGCACCCGTGAGCCCGTACTCCCACATGTACCTCTGTTAGTAACTGAATTTTCACATTGATCTAAGACTCTACCTCGATACTTTCTCTCTAATGTTAGCGAGGTTAAGACATCAAAACCATGACCCTTTGCTCAAATATATCCATCTGTGGAGGGGGTCCCAAACAAGTCTGCCCGCGGGACTCTCCACTTGCTGCTTGCTCTCCATCGCTGATCTACTCTTTCTAGAAGGCGACAGCTTCTTTCTCTTCCCTCCAGTGTGAGAAGCAATTTCTCGCCCCAAGTCGGGCTCCAGACCCTTGGCTTACCAGCAGCCGTGCATGCGTATGTGCAGAGTTGAACACCAGTGCGGAGAAGATTTAAAGAGGACTTTCGATTCCAGTCCTTACTCAGTAGTTGTGCAAATTAGGACCCCTGGGAAAGTCATTCCCTGTCTCTGCGCCTCATTTTCCTCAGCTGTTAATTACAGAGGTAACTGGACTCAACTACAACTTCTTGTCTAGTAGGGGATGCATGGTGTTGGCACTGTGAGTGCGCAATATAACCCCAACTTGAGAATCTGGCCAAGGAGAGAGGAGTCCTCGGCTTCTATCCGATTCCCAAGATCTCTTCCCACGCCACCACTTTGTTTTCCTGAGCATCTTTGGTGTCCCATCCTCCCATATCCCCTTGCCCACTGGCCTCGAAAGTGATCCGGGAATGACGCCGAACGGCCAAGTCTGCGATGTTGACCCGGTTGAAGATGACGTTTTCCATGCAGCCACGGAAGTTATGCCGATACGCTAGATTCTTCTGCGCGGCACCCACCAGACCCCCAATGAACATCTGCAGAAAGGGTGGGAGAAAAGGTTATCTGGACACAGGAGTGTTCGTGCCTGTCTCACACACCCCTTGTCTTAAGTTTTCCCAGTGCCAGAAATTTTATAATTATAAAGATTTGAAACACGCATGTCCACCGGGTCGATACCAAAATTCATTGGCCTTCCAAGCCTTAGGTTTGAGCTCTGAATCTCCCATAAAGTGGCTGCAAGCCTTGAGCAAGTCTATTAACCTGTTTAAACTTCTTTATCTGAATATTGGAGTTAGGGTCTTATTAACTCTATAGAATTGTGGGAGAATCCAAAGAGACAATTTTCCTACCTTGCCTGATCTGTAAAATCTGAATTCTAGATCCCATGTCAGTAGTTATGGGGTGGGAGTGTGTGCTAATAGCAACAACATCGGGGGAAAAAAAAAAACAGGCCTTTCTGGTGGGCAGCAAATTTGCAAAGAGCTGCCAGCACTTTCAAGAAACAAAGTCTTACCTCTGAGAGAGTACTGTCCCTTACCCACTCTCCCAGCACCCTACCCAACCAAATGTTGCCTTCTCCATTGCTCACCTCTGTGTCCAGATTCAGCCTCTCAAAGTCACCATTGAGCACGAAGCGCTGTACATAGCCATCTAGGGTGAGATTTGCTTCTCGCCCATATCGATCCACTCGCACATAGTGCCAGTGCTGGTCGTTCAGGACACCGCCAGCGCTCACCGTGGTGTGACCAGGCCTTGGCTGGATGGGGCTGCTGCCTGAGGGTGAGGGGGGACAAAGTGAGAACCTGAGCAAAAAGAGAACCTGAGCAAGCCCTAAGTCCCCAGGCAAGCAGCAGCTGAGGCCCAGTGCAAGTTTGGAGCCTGGGGCGAAGCGGCCCATTGGCCAGTGCGTAGCTGAAAGTAAGCCAAGTAACCTCTATTGGTCTCTTTTCCTGTCTGGAAAACTCGGGGTACGATAGCTTTTTCTATTTCATTACACATATGCTATGCTATGAAAACTACATGAAATACAAAATAATAACCCGTTTGTGTGTGTTTCCAATAAGCAAACTGAGGCTTGGGGAAGTGACTTCTCCAAGGTCACACAGCTGGTAAAAGGTAAAGCTGAGTCTAGAATCCAGTTCTCCTGACTTTGATTCCAGAATCTTGCTAGCACCAAATGTTAAGAAAAGGGCCTTTAGGTCAAGATAGTAAAGAAGGGCAGATCTGGCCGGGGCGTGGGCAGAGAGCTTAGCGAGTACCGCACTCACCCAGGCTCATGTGCAGTAGCAGGTGCGCCCCCTGCAGCTCAAGCGTCACGTAGTCGCCCTGGGCGCCCTCAGCGTGCAGTAGTAGCCCATCTTTCTCCTCCGTCTTGAAACTGAAAGCAAATACGTCCCACAGACTTCGGCTGACTCCTCTTGGGAAGCGGTAGGAGATGGCATCGTCGCCGTCGAAGTAGAGTATGTCTGACTCTGCATGAAGTACAATAGGTGGGCCCGAGACCAGGGAGACTCTGCTTCCCCGGCACCCTCCGCTACCTCCGCGTGGTTCTCTTACTGTAGGGGCAGCCATAGAGACCGAGTCGCAGGCCGATCTTGCCTCGCGGGTTCCA